TTTTTTTTTTTTTTTTTTTTTGAAAATAGGTAATGGAATCTTCTCCTTTTGGCATCAAGTGATTTATGTTAATTAAAAAGTCAAGTGATTTCATTGCTTCTAAAATTAGAGGCACTAACCTACTTGCTAAGAATTTGATTATAAAATATTTGAATTCATTTATGGTCGAAAAAAATTTAAAAATAATTTTTGAGCCTATAAAGAGCAGTATAATCTCTTAATCAGAATAAACTTGTCAATTTAGGAAAATGAAAAACATGTAGGAGTTTTATCATCATAGAGCTATATCCACCCATTGATTGCTTTGTGTAACAATTTATAGGGTACAAGACAGAGTAGTTTTAAAGGTTTTTAATGACAGCAATAGTGCCATTGATTGTTGAGGTGTTTAAGTATGCGAAAAAGCATTGCATGCAATGAGATTTACCAACATTTTATGTATTGATTCCAATGCTATGCTATTTTAAAGATTTAAAAAATCACCTTAATTATTTTGACTCAAGCCAAGCTCATCGCACATGTTATATAATGTTGGTGTCAAGTCAACTTTGCTTTTCTCTGCAATTCACCTTGATATTCTGATTAAAGAAGTCACTTTAGTTGATTTTTCATAGCTAATTATTGTAGATTGATCAGGAGTTGTTTGTGCAATTCCAAATAGAATTCTAAGTTTGCAGACTACTAGAAGTTGAGATTTTCGACAAGCCTCATAAAGTCAATTGAATTTTTTTCAAAAGAAAATAATTTGGTTCTTACCGTGGAAATTCATTCAGCTCTTCTTTTGTTTCTCATGAAGGATAATGGTTAATATTCATTAGCTATACAAAAAAGAAAGGGAAAGCCAAAGGTCAAATCTCTTATATCTGTCCTTCAAAAACATGTTGCATTATGTTGCTTGATGTTATGTTGCTAATTGTGTTTTTATTTTCGAATATTACTACTCACTTGTATAGAATATTCAGGTCATTTCTTGGAGTTGATCGACATTCCTGAATTATGCTCAACATAACAACTATAAAGATGGGGGATTATAGCCTTCTAGGTGCTAGCGAAGTTGGGGCTTTGTGAGAATTGGTCAATCAAGCACTTCAAACAGATCTTCTAAGAGGGAAGCTGGATGAGCATATTGAATAGCGGCATGTGCTTGAAGCGACTCGAAGGAGGAAGGCTGGATGAGGCTAGAAAGAAACCAGTAGAGATGAAATAGTTAAAAAGTGAGCATGACGTCCATGAGTTGATGAATGGAGATGGTGAGTTGGTGAATGGAGATGGTTTGTAGAGTTCTAGAAAGGTTTAATTTAATAATTAGTCTATTAATTATTAGTTTAATTTTATTTTAGTCTATAAAGTTAGTTTTTTTTTTTAAATCTATAAACTTTGTAAAATATTTCAGAATAGTTTAATATACAACTTCTATTAGTTTTAACCAAAAAATAACAAAAAATTTAAATCAAAATTAAAATAGAATAGTTTTAGTCAGTAAAATAATTCACAATAAATTGTGCAAGCTATTAAAATATATCAATAACTATGGTTTTTACTATAAAGGGGAATTATTAAAAAGAAAAACTAAAACAGTATGTAATAAAATTTAATTACACTTCTTTAGACAATAAAAAGGGATTTATCATTATCACAAAATTAGTTTTATCTCAAAATTAATTTCAATGAGTAAAAATTTATCAAAAATATAATTGAAGGCCAATTTGATCAAATGAAATAAAATTGCTGCTGGAAAGTTAGACTAAATTAAATTGAAATAAAAGTAAAAAATAATAGATAACTCTGAAAATGAAAAAAAAAAAAAAGAGTACAAAAGTTTTTAAACTGTTTATTAAATTAAGCCGCTCCAAAAACAACCTTCATGTATCAATTAATCATAATTATATAAGGCAAAGAGAATGGTGATGCCATAGAGAAGAAAAATGGGGTGATCCCTTCATCCAGACAAAGCAGTCCATCAGACAACAGGTTTGAATTACGATGTCATTTTAATTAGCACTAATTATGAGTATGACTTAGTTTAAAGTATAAAGAATATTTTACAGCAGGAGCAAGTAGTTAGGGATTGTATTAAAGGAAACATACAAGAGGCAGGATAATGAAAATGCCAGCAGAAAGTGATGATGATTCATATAAGAAGGGAGCAATTAAAATATAAAGGGGTGATGAAAAGGATACTGGAAGGCAGTGGGAAATGTGAGGTTAGGATCTTCGTATACCCAAAAGATGGCTAATGTAGTAACAGTGTGGTGGTGAAGAGGATGGGGCAAAGATGGCTATTGTAGAAAGAAAATTCCAGGGAATGTACGAACTAAGGTAGAGCTGTCCAGAATGCAACTTTGATGATCTCTTCCTTTCTCTTCATTTGGAATTGTCAAGCTGGGCTTCCTTCTCTTTTTTTTTTTTTTTTTTTTTGATCAGCCATAAGTTTCCATTCTTTCAATAGTTTTGTTTTTGTAAGTGAAAAATTGGAAAACGAAGAAAAGGGGCAACAGATTAAGTACAAAATAAAGAAAAAGTTCCCTTCTCTTTTCTTAATTTTTTGCATTCATATAAAATGAATGCTTAATATTCTAAAACCCTAATCATCTGTAGGTGAAAAATGCAGGAATAGGTGGTTTCATAATACATGGCAAAGCTCTAAAAACTGCCGCATGCTGGCAAAGTAAGTGTTCTGCATATAATCCTTTAATGTTTATACCACTATAAAATGATATAATAACCATTCAAACGCAATGGTCTTTGACAGTTATCGCATGGATTAGAAAGTTTAATTTTCTTTTTATTAACTCAGTCAAGAGCACCAATCAACCGGGCTGAAATAGTTAGTCAAGTTGTAAAAATTAGTTTTTTAAAAACTGTAATTTAGAAGCATGTCCACTAACTTACAGTTAGAGGGTCTCTCCATTTATTTTTTAATGTTTTGCTCTTTGATGTTTTCCTTTTAAGGGGTTTTTTGCTGTAGATCTAAAAGGAGGAGAAAAAACCCATTGTCATGCTTTATATTGATTTACACATTTTTTTTCCTTCAAAAATATTTCTAATTATTTTCTTTTATTCCTTTCAATTATCTTATGCAGAGCCATGAAAAGTACTAACGTGAGTAATTTGCAAGTTGCGTTGAAAGAAATGTTTACTGGTGCTTTAATATGATAATTCGATTTTAAGTCTAAGATTTGAATGTCAAACCTTAAACAAGTAAAAGATTATATGAAAATATGAGAAGTATTCTGTATTATATAACATAAGAGGAGCTAGGTTTTCATTTTACTTTTGATGGCCTACATTTGGCTTACTCGACCCAATATATTGTCTATAAATTATTTTAAGTTTATTATAGTTTTCACATTTTATCGAAATTTAGATTGATTATGGTTAATTATCCAATAAATATCCAAATCATCCACTTGAAAAATAGGGTTATTGAAATCATACGACACTTTAAATATTAATAAAGAGATACATAAAAAGATCACTGGGAAAAAGGAGAAAATTGGGAGGGGATTTGAGCGGTTGCCCAACATCAATAGAGAGAATTGTGAAAAATTAATGGGCCTGCTTGGTTAGATGGGCTTCTATTGGAAAGAAATTGGGGATTTGGTGATAGATAGATATATAGGTAGATTAGTGGGTTTTTAGAGTGGATAGGAGGATTGGGTTTAAATGAAATAATTATTGGGCTTCAAAACACTTGTAATTGGATATTTTTTAATAATTTAAGTGGTATTGATTTTTTAATTATATAAAGAAGATTAGTGGGTTTTTAGAGTGGACCGAAGGATTAGGTTTAAATGAAATAATTATTGGGCTTTAAAACAACTATAATTGGGTATTTTTTAACGATTTAAGTAGTGTTAATTTTTTAATTATGTAAAGATGCAAAGATGTAAAGATAAACTTTTTTGAACTTCTTTAATTCCACTTTGCCAAGGAAAAAAAACAATTAGAAATAGTAAAGGAATAACGAAGAAGTGTTTTATAGAATGGATTGCATATTAAATGTGCAGTTTAACTTTTGAATTTACTAAAATACTCTTAATAGAATAACGTAACAAATAATTTCATTAAAGATGTTTTAATAAATTTATAAGGTAAATTTCACTTTTAATGTATAGTTTGTACAGTAATGAATCCCAAAAAATAAAAAAAAAAGTGTCAAAGAGTGGGAACCAAAACTTAAAGAAAGAGAACTACATTTGGTGGAAAATTATTTATTCAAAAAAGTAGCAACGTTAACGTTGGGCCTTTTATAAAGAAGGCCAAAATAATTAAAGAGTCTTTCAATTGTCTCCATTCATCACTTTCCTGCAATTGTTGGCAAAAACCAACATTTAGCCCCTTACCTTATAAAATCGGTAGGTTTAAGTCCCTCAACTTATAACATAACACTTTTAGCCCTTTGCATTACAATGTTGGTAGGTTTTAACCCCTCATCTTATAAAGTTGGTAGATTTTAACCTTTCACCTTATATTATGACATTTTTAGCTACTCACTTGTACGAATTGAAGAAAATAACCCCCACCTTTTTTTTTTTGAACAGCAAAAATATTATTTATTGATAAACGGAGTACAAGGGGTACCCCAACCCATCAACTTGACAAATTAAAAGTCATACAAATTCTAATCCTACCGAATGGAATCGCCCCCTGAATTATGAGCCAGCACGACGTCCGTGGGGGATATTTTGGTGCATGCAACATGGTGTCGACACCAGATCCAGTGTGTCGGCACTGTACCCGTGTCGAACTTTCTGCCATCTATTGCATAGTCTTTATCAATCACTATACTGATCTTGAAAAACATTTCAGCTATTGCCCCACTATCCCGCACATTCACTGAGCATGCCTTGACTGCCGCATAAAGCCCCAAAGACCATCAGTGCTTCAGGCACACAAACTCCTTCGCTCACTGCTCCACCTCCATTCCAGATGACATTTTGTTGAGATACTTGATCCTTTAGCTAAGAATAGTAGATAAGGATCACCTTAAGGCTGTCAAGGATCCACCCCTAGCCTCCGTCCTGCAGCACTATTAATTTTCTCCCCCTTTTATCTTTCAAGCATTCCATAGGTTCCAACATCCAATTGCAAAGATTAAAAGAGTACCCTACTGTTCTATTTATGATCCATTGGAATGTCCGCAATTGCACCAGCTCAAAAATCCTATTGACATCTTGCTCATGGTTACTAAAAGCCCTTTCGTTTCTAGCTATCCATATAAACCAGATTGTTGCACACCAGACTGCATCCCAACCTGCCCTGATGTTTACATCTTTAAAGGAGGCTAAATGTTATTCAAAAGATGCATAGCAATTGTCAGCTCTAACAGATGAGATTCTCCACCATTAGAGACATTTGGACCACACTGCATATGCAAACTTGCAATGAAGAAATAGATGATTTATATCTTCCATACTCTCATTGCATAACATGCATGTAGCTAGATGGAGATCTGGAACAATCCCTCTCTTGAACAGATTCACCTTGGAGGGTATTCTATCTTGTAGGACTTTCCAAACAAAGGCGCATATTTTTGTGGGGACTAGCCTGCACCAAATTCTTTTATGCAAGATGATCCTACTCTGTTGGTGGTTACTGGAAAGAGTTTGATATCCCGATTTAGCTGAATAAATCCCCTGATCATGCCTCCACTCCCATCGATCCTTTTGTCCCTTAATTGGTTGGATAGACTGTAACATCCTCCACAGCTCCGCCATCGAGTGTTCCTCCCAGGAGAAGATAGGCCTCCTCCATTCCAATGACCAATTCCAGCTTCCATTGCTCCAGGATCCCATTTGAGAAATGCTCTTTGTTCTGCCTAAAGAATTCAAAAAGAGTCTAGGAAATTTATTAGCTAGTGACTCATCCCCAATCCAGACATCCTTCCAAAATTTGATAGAATTACCCTCTCCCAACTTTAGTTTAAAGCCATCTACGAGCCAGCCAACTCTAGTTGTGCACGAATAATCTAATCTACAGACATCCCTCCACCATAAGGACCCCTTCTGGTTGCCCTCTTCAATCCAATTCAACCAATTACCTCCACTACTACCATATTTCTCACGAATAACCCTGTACAAAAGACCTTCCTCTCCCTCTGCCAATCTACTCCACCACTTGCCTAACAACGCTAAATTAAACTTTCTAAGATCCTTCACACCTAGCCCACCATCCAATTTACTTCTACACACAATTTCCCAACAAACGCAATTGATCTTCCTATTATTCGCTACACCCCCCCAAAGAAACTTTCTACGTATTTTATCGAGTAAAAGAATCAAACCTTTAGGCAGCAAGTGGACAGACATCGTGAACACAGGGAGGCTAGACAGCACGGAGTTAAGGAGCGTGATCCTTCCACCGAGAGAGATAAATCTATTTTTCCAGCTGGCAAGTTTCTTGTTAAAGGAATCAATCATGGGTCTCCACATGGCAATACATCTGCGTTTACCCCCAATCGGCATACCTAGGTATTTACAAGGAAATTTCCCCTGTTTACAATTCAAAATACAGGACATCCTAGTCATCCATTCCTCCGAAACATTGATGCCCATAAGCAAACTCTTTCCAAAGTTAATCTTAAGCCCAGAAACCATCTAAAAAATCCTCATAATACTTTTAACAGCCCAAATATTTTCTTCCGCAGCATTACCAAACACAATTGTGTCATCAGCAAATTGGAGATGGGTTACATTCATGCCACATTGCCCAATTTCAATCCCATTAAACAACCCCAATGACGCAACTGCAGAGATGATGCCATTAAGACCTTCAGCCACAATCAAAAATAAGAAAGGGGAGAGAGGATCACCTTGTCTGAGACCTCTTTGCATCTTAAACTGCCTGGTGGTGCTGCCATTAAGTAGTACTGAGACTTCTGCTGTCTTCAAACATTCATTAATCCAGTTTTTCCATTTTTGACCAAAACCCAATCTAAGCATCATATAATCCAGGAATTCCCAGCAGACTTTGTCATAAGCTTTTTCAAAGTCAGCTTTAAACACAAACCCTTTCTTCTTTCTTTTCTGGGCTTCATCAATAACCTCATTTGCGATAACCACACTGTCAACTAATTGCCTTCCACCGACAAAAGTCATCTGATTCTCACCAATAATCCCATTCAAGACAGAAGACAGCCTACGTGCTAACAATTTCGCAATCAGTTTGTACATGACACCAACTAGGGAGATTGGTCTGAATTCTTCGATTTTTTGTGGGCTATTGACTTTAGGGACTAACACAATGAAGGAGCTATTCATCCCTCTAACCAGTTTGCCATGCTTGTGAAAATCTGATACATATTCCATTACGTCTTCCTTAAGTGATCCCCACATCTCCTTGACAAATTTGAAGTTGAATCCATCGGGTCCTGGTGCTTTCATGCTCTCACAACTCCACACAGCTTGTCTGACTTCCTCCTCACTAAACGGTGCTTCCAACATCACCCTCTCCTCATCTGAGATCTTCTTGAATTCAATCCCATCTAAGACTGGGCGTTGCCACACATCTTCTTTAAACAGTGTCTCAAAATAGTTAGCCACACCGTCTTTCATACTATTTACTTCTTCAAGTCGTTGATTCCCCACCAGGATACTAGATATATCATTCTTTCTTCTTCTTCCTTTCACACATCTATGAAAGAATTTTGTGTTGGCATCCCCCTCACTTATCCATGTCTTTCTAGCTTTTTGGCGCCACATACTTTCTTTCATCCTTTGATTTTTCCATAGCTCCAAGAAACTTGTCCTTCTGGCCTCGATATCTTCTGGCGACAATGGCATCTCCTCACCTTTTTTTATCAATAGAGGCAATAGAATCAATGCTCTTTTGAATGCCCAAGTCAATCTCAGAGATCATATTCTTGCTCCACACTTTCAGCACCTTCTTAGTTTCCTTCAATTTCTCCTTCAGACGATACCCATTCCATCCATTTACTACTGTAGACTTCCAGATATCAGAGACTATACCTTTAAACTGAGGTAGTTCCAGCCATGCATCAAAGAACCGAAATGGTTTTGGGCCCCAATCTGTAATTTGGTTTTTGAGTACAATTGGGCAGTGATCAGAGAGTGATCGGTTTAAGCCCCATTGTTTGACATTTTCCCAATTCAGACACCATTCTTCTGAGAGCAGAAATCTATCTAGCCTACTCATCGAGGCTCCATTAGAATGGTACCAGGTGAATTTTCTGCCAATTAATGGTAAATCAACCAGGCCACATTCATTAATGAAATCGTCAAACTCTGGCATTTCTCTCTTTATACTCATCCCACCCTTCCTTTCCTGTTCATTTCTTACTGCATTGAAATCCCCCATTAGACACCAGTTCCCGCCAATTTCAGTAATAAGGTTTTTGAGAGAAGCCCATAATGCTCTTTTACTAGGAAGGTCACAAGGGGAATAAATGTTAATGATATAAACAGGAGTCCTAGCTGCCCCCCAAAATCCAAAAACCCCAATAAAATTATCCCCTTCAATAATCCTGTCTTTCTTCAATAATTCAAAATTCCAAACACATATCAAGCCTCCAGCCGTACCTTTTGAGGGTTGAGCAACCCATTCAAAGTCCTCCGAACCCCAAAGAGCTCTACAGAGTTGATGATCCACCACCTCTGTTTTTGAGAAAATAACCCCCACCTAACATCAGGTTATAACGTTTTATTAGTTCTGTTAACTGACTGTTAACATTTGTTAGCATTTCATCATAGAAAACATTAAATTTAAATTCAATTTTATTTGTTAGTTCCATTA